TTGTTGAAACAACACCTCTTTCGACTTACCTTGTGCAAGACGAAGCACTCGAGTGTTGGCCTGATTCGGTTCAGAAACAAATCATCGAATCCAAGTTTCCAAATTCTCTATTGATTTCTCATACCTATAATGCTTATACACTTGTTAGAGACGAGCTTGAGGTATATTTTATGCGCCAAACTTTTTTATCTGTTCATCAAATTCAATTGATTAATTGATTGACCATTTATCGATACTATTTTGTAGAAAACCCAGTCCGTGAAACGGCGTCAAGCTGAAGAGAAAGTAACTCAACATCGAGTTGTAACACGTGCTAAAACTAAAGGAAAAGGAAAAGCCGTATTTGATTCCATGTAGTTGACACCGACTTTTATTAACATTCCTAATAATCTTTAGAATTTGTATTTCTTGAATATTTTACGAAATTTGAAAAATAAATACTAAATGTAGTAATAATTAATAATGAATGCTTGTCAAATGTTTTTTGTTGAATGTTTTGCGAGAGAAATTTAATCCTATTGTTTGTCCTTTCAACGAATAATAATATTTTATATAAATTTTTCTGATTAGTAAAATAATTTTATTAAAACCGTTTTATCTATTTTATATCAAAATATTACAGTAATTTTAAATAACAATAACATATTGCAATACTGCAAATTAATCTAGCATATTTCATTTTCTAATTCTTTCGGGTTCCGGTCTACTCGATAAAAGACCGGCTGATACATGATCGAACATTATTGATAAGTAAGTATTTGTGATATTAATTAAAAAAGTCTTTAATGCACGAAAAATAATTATCCATAAAAAAATGCACACGAATATACCAAATTTCAGCAGCCCTAATTTTTTCGAGATTATCCATAACACTATCCTCCCATGCGTAATACTTAATTACTCTGATCCCTTGCAAGATCTCTCCCGTGATCTTTACTCGTTCATCTGTTATTCTGGAGGCCTTCTTTCTTATCTTAATCAAGGATTGCATGATTCGACCTTGCAACGGAGCGGCGATGACCATTAACCCGAATCCAGCCAGCGCTGACAATCCTATGTTTAATATCAAGAGTGCAAGTGCTATTAAAAGTATAAGTGGAGTTGCCCATAACAAATGGGAATAGACCGCAACCCAATCTATGCGAGTCGTGTCTGTGGACATCAAATTCGTGATCTTTCCCGAGGTGAAGGTGCTGCGTGCTTTTCCACTGAGCACCAACGCCTTTCGATAGATGGCCGCGATTAAAATCGTGCGGGCCAATATACCACATTCTGATGACAAATACAAACATTGGACGCTAGTTATTGTGTAAATTTGCAACATCAAAAATAAAATTGTTGACAATATTATTCCTTTATAAATTGGTGGTGCATCGTCACTGTTATTAGACTCGATTGACTCCGTCGAAAATAATATTATGGCCTAGACAAAATGCATTGAAGACATTACGTCATGAGAACAATCAAATTTGCTCATTTCTAAACTATCCACTGTCAATTACTGTACCTGAATTGCTAAGGGTGAAAAGACCTGCAACAAATAAGCGATTAACCTTGTGAGACCCGCAATCCAAAATTCAAATCCAATCACACGGTTAACTGCTAATATTAAAGAAGGTTTCTTTCCTTTTTTTAGTTTTTGTAGTTCATTATTCCACTCATTTTCAAATTTTTCCGCCAGGGTTTTTGCCAGCCTTTCATTATCAAGGTAATACAAATCTTCTTTTTCTAAAGGCTTCTTATAGCCAATGCGTAAAAGTTCGTTGAGCCAAACAAAGAAGATCTTGGAAAATATGGATGCTCGTGCTTCAGGAATGATCTTTTCGGAATTTTTTACAGGATGTTGATTTCTTTTTTTCCAGAACATCTTATACTGCTTATAGTCAGACTTGTGAATGTGTATTACGATTCAATGGATATATTATCTTTGTTTTCTACAAAAAATCTGCATCACGTTTGTGTTTTTTTTTTTTTTTGATTTCTTTTGTGCTTAAATACAGGAGAAATAGATTAATCATGGGGAGGCACAATATTTTATAATAATCTCTTGTGATTATGAAATAAAATAAGCCTTTCATCATCGAGAATGAGATGAGATAAATATTGATATGTGCTCCTTAGAAAACAAACAAATAATTTCGAGAGGCTTTTTCCTCATCATGATATCAACACGATATTGAGATGATCAGATAAAAATCTTTAACAACTAAGTTACGTAGTCAAAGAATACGAATCATTGAAATTTCCTTTAGCCTTTTTTAACTGAATTGTGTGCTATCGTATAACGAAAGAGAAAGGTTACTACATTACAATATTTTTGTCATCTACGTATAACGCACATTCGCAATTGGAAATTCCATGCTTTGATATTAAGTCTGTTCTGTATGCAATGATAAGAGCTATTACTATTTATTGTTTTAATAATAATGCTATTAATTACCCATCAACAGTTCTCGTGTCTGTTAATATTATTATTGTAACATGACAAAGTATTACACCTACGACCCTTGAAATTGAATCCAATATGAATAAATAAAGTTAGTCTTTACTATGCATATCGTATCCCATATAGGTTCAAG